CTGCACACAGACCCTGCACACTGACCCTGCACACAGACCCTGCACACTGACCCTGCACACAGACACTGCACACTGACACTGCACACAGACACTGCACACAGACACTGCACACTGACCCTGCACACTGACCCTGCACACTGACCCTGCACACTGACACTGCACAGACCCTGCACACTGACCCTGAATACAGACCCTGCACACTGACACTGCACAGACACTGCACAGACACTGCACAGACACTCCACAAAGACACTGCACACTGACCCTGCACCCCCTCTATCCCAGAGGCTCCAGCCTGGCTCTGTGCAGTGCTGCTGAGCTGTGGGCAGCATCCCACAGCAGGTTCTGTACAGGAGCTCCTTGTCCTGCAGGACTGATGCATCTCCCATCTYTTCTATGGATGATTTCCCTGTGTTCCAAGCTCGCCCACAGCAGTACCAGATCCAAGGCACACGACAGCCAATGGAGCTGCTTCTTTTCTGCTAACACACTGTACTGCCAAGGTGATCCCCAGCACCAGTGTCAGTCACGAGCAGGGTGCTCTTTGACAGACWGATGGGGATATAGGCAATACAGCCTTTAATTTTTCTGTAAAGTACCACAAAAAGCCTTCATAGCTACTGTGAGCTTTCAGCTTCTTGTGGCTGTTGTAGAAGTAGTGGAGAAGTTCTGCCAGGGAAAAGGGAGCAGATGGGCAGATGGGATGCACACACCCTTTCTCCAGCCACAACTTTTGGCCTCCAACACAACATTTCCACCTCATGGGAAATGCAAACAGATCTCTCAAGGATGCAGCCTCTTGCCTTTCACAAGATAATGTTCTTATTGTTTGGTAGAAAAACTTTTTTGTGGTGGATTTTGTATGGCCTAAATTCTGCAGTCCCTTCTGTCAAGGGTGGCATCTCCTGCGAAGGAGGTGGGAGGTGGGACCTGCAGGCCAGCTGTGCTGCTGTGTGGGTGTCAGTGCCACTGGGCTGGGACACATCTGCTGCTCCAGGCAGGGTCAGCCAGCACAGACTGACACCATGTGTCCCACAGACTTGATGCTGCTCTCTCAGTACCAAAGACATCCTTTATTTTTGTACCTAATGTTGAYTCCTGAACAGGCTGAAATGGCTCTTTCTGTCCATTTTTCACTTGTTATTCTTTATTACATGAAACAACAAACTGTCATCCTGACTCACTGTTTCTTTTATATTTTTAGTGCTGTGAAGATCTGACTCCTGGCTATGAAATAAAGTTGCTCACTTCTACAACGACAACTGCACCATTTCCTGAGGTCAGTTGCAGCAGACTTAAAACTGGGTGCAAGCACACTAATTTTGCAACTATATTAATAAATGGGAGCTATGGCCTTGTCGTTCTGGTGTCACAGGTGACCTCTGTAAGCCACATGAAGCTCAGCTGTCCCATGCTTGTGCTCCTCCYCTCTCTSAGGTGCAGTRACAKTGTACACACWGTTTTGGTTTGCTGCATTCTAAGCAGGGTCTCAAACGAGCAGATGCAGTGGGTCCTGGCTCTGGGACCACTGCCCGTGAAGGGGACACTGCTGCTCGTGGTGGCCTGGGAAGCCCCTCTGATGGCAGGGAAGGTCAAGGCAGGAGGATCTGGGCACCAGGGGAGGAGCAGGCACCCCTGACCCAGCAGTGTGGCAGGGCTGGGGGTGCTGGCCCCCATGCATAGACACTGACCCAAGTGGGCACAGGGAACCGGGGGGGCTGTGCCCCATCACTGGCTGGGCACAGCTGGCTTCAGGACAGAATCCAGCCCCTCCCCACGGGCGTTCCTCAGCTTCACGGGGCTAAAAATCCCCCAAAATCAGGGAAATTATGCGAACCATGAGAGTGCTACTTCAAGCAAGCAGACCTGGGAGACACAAGTTCTGGCTTAGTAGTAGCTGGAAGTGTAATTAATATTCACTGTAAACACACCACTCAGACTTGATAATAAAGAATCACTAGCCTTGGAACAYACACCCACTTTCTCTGCATTTCAGTGCTAACTTAGTCTGAAAACAGTACTGACATAGCAAACACAATAATGCTGGTGTGGTTCTAACATTCCAAACTTTCCAAAATAACCATCTGAGCAGCAATTCAAGTTGAAAAGCAACTTGGCTGAACCTTGAGGCTAATAAACTGTTTGATTAAATTAAGGGGTAAAAACTAATAAATATTCAAAACACTTGATAACACTTTGTTTGACATAAAGAACATTTAATGCAAGTCTCACTGGAAAACCTGTCAGGTTTTATACCTTAAGTAGAGTTTTGCATTTAGAAACACTGAGTGATTCCATTTGCTGCCTTTGATTATTGTCTTCTGTCACTTTAATCATGCTGGCAAAATTACACGATTTCTGTGAAGTCAAATCCGTTTACAATGCAGTTTTAATATAGCTTTACAGCACATTCTTCTGTGCATTTTTATTTAGTTACTCCCTACCTAGTAATGCTTTGCTTTGTTCTTGAGCCCTCATTAGCCTGGGGTTTGCTCTAAAGCTCTCCCAGGGAGGAACTCAATGCAATGCAGTTAACCCTCTGCGAAGGGATGATGTGGAAATACAGCCAGAGCCACGGCTCTGGACTGCCCTGAGCCTGTCCTGCCCTGCTCGGACTCTCTGTGCAGATGGGCCCTTGGCATCCACGGGCACTGTCCCCTCCAGCCAAACCCCACTGCTTCTGTTACTGAGCACCTCAGAAACCTGGTTGGTGCCACAATCCAAGTGCATCTCTCCTGCCCTCTCCTCTCACACCTTGTCCCAGTGGATTGTCCAGAACAGAGCTGCTGAAGCATCCCTCTGGCTCCTCTCCCACTTCTCCATCCCCCCCTGCACATGATCCATCTCACAGCCCCGGCACTGYTCTGGTCCTCAGCTGCACTGCTACCTGCAAGTTTCTCTCATCTCTCTATGGAGTTTTCTCCCACCCAGTCCTCAGTGCCCTGGCTCCCTGCCTGTCCCACACTCCCCAACCCATGGGGGAGGTTTCCAAACCCTCCTGCCACTCAGCAGAAGCACCAGTGCKCAGGACAGCCTTTCTGGGCTGGAGCTCCAAACTCCAGGAGTGCCAAACCTCCCTGMCCCAGGACAAGGCATGAGCAGCAGGCTCTCCTGGGGTGGGTGATGATCCTCCAAACTCAGGGGAGAAYGGCTGAGTTTGCAGCATGAGGAGCAGCTCTGCTCCAAAACAAGAGCCACTAACACAGCTCTGGACCCAGTCACAACTGGCCAARTGATCCTGTGGCCCACCCAATACAACAAAGTGAAATGGCATCTCAGAGTAAGCCAGAGCTTTTCTTCCTAGTAATGCTGTGTCCTCCAACTCAGCAGACGCCCATTTGCCACCCCAATTTATTCAYCATTTCAGCCTGGAATACATGCTTTTGTTAAATCTTGTCATCTACAGTTAGGACACTTTTGTCTTCTGATTTTCATACATAAGGGTGACAATGTTGGAAGTTTCGTAAGTGCAAAGYCAAACAAACAAGGCTGAGAGAAGAGCCTTTAAACAATCAGGGCCTGCAAAGAAACCACCAGCACCGGATTTCATACGAAACATGTCCTGCTCCTTAAAAAGCCTTCAGTCAATCCCATCTCCCAAGAATATTTTGACATTCATAAACTGTGAGCAGATTACTTCCTGAAATCAAAGTCTGCATTGGTTATGTCTAACACAAATCCTTATRGGCTTGTTTAAGGATGTTTTTGTTTTTATATCAGCAAGAAAAAGATTTACACAGTTCAAGTCTTCTAAGCATCACATTTAAAACATTTCTTTCAAATTCTGAGCATTAAACCCTGCTAAGTGCAAGTTGCTGATGTTGCTTCTTAATTGTTGTTATACCCCAATAAATAAGCTAAAAATGTGAGAAAATACAATTAGTTTAGAAAAACTGATTTAGCCATAAGCTTCATCATTTAACTTTTCTTGGTATCCATGACAACCATTGGTCCATTTATTAAATAACAGCATCCCTCGTGTAATACACAAGTACTAAAAATCCTAACAAATAAACAGCAACATTTAGTTAAGTGTGTTTAGGTCAAGCACAAAAACCAACCTGGCACAAAAACAAATGACAGAATGGAAGRTAAAAACAGATTGCAGACTATAGCTTTCCTTACCTTAAAGTCATCTGGGAGCAGTAGCTTAGATGTCCTTAGGAAGCTTAATATATATCTGAAAATTTCCCCATCTCGATCAATGAAATAATGTTGTTTTAAACTGTCCAAGACAATAGGCTCTGTGCCATTAAACAGACGACTTATTCTGAAAAAAAAGAAGAGAAAAAGGAAGGGGCAAAAGAGACAAAACCTCATTACAGCCTTGGGGCKTAAGAACAACCAATTTAGGAGCATCAATTCAGCGTGCATAAGGTAAGGCAGGATGTTAATTTGGTGACAAACACRTGCAGAGGGTCGGTGCCCTGGGTGKGTGGGTGCAGTGAGAGCCTCCCTGGCACCATTGTGTGTTAGCCCACGGCCACAGCCAGGACAGCCCCTGCAGCCTCCCCCGGGGGCTGGCACAGGCATTCTGGGGACAACAGGAGTCCCTGGCTCTGTCACACATCCCTGTTTGCCACATCCTGCTACTGGACAGCCAAGTGGTTACTGCAGACACAGGTTCCTGGCCATGAGCCTGCCTCCAGCACAGCTTCATTTGACAAACACCATCCAAGCCTTGCTGTGCTGAAGGAGAGGCTGCCTGTGCTGAGCTGTATGGACCWGTCAGTGTCCATCCAGTGCAGAGTGTTTTGGCAAAACAGAAACCAATGGCCCGTGCAGCACCTATAGCACTGCCTGTGGGACCACAGTGCCACCACCAGCAACCCTGGGCATGAGCCTGGCAGGAGGAGAGCACCGTGACAAATCTCCTGTGAGAAAAAAACAAGGGAGCAAGACCTATGAGAGCTGGGGATCAGCCGAGTGCAGGACCACAGGACCACACAGCTGCATCACTGTCCAGGTGTTCCCAGTCACGGGGAGCCTGTTCCACAGTGAGCAAACCAGGCATCRGCCTGCCTGGCTGCCACTCCTGCAGCCTCTCCCTTCCAAATGCCTGGCTTCTCTCCTGCTTTCTTCCCATGAGAAATATCCCAGCTGAATATATGTTCTTGAAAGGGAAAATGCGGAGACAGCCAGCAMCGACCTATTAAGTAATTGAGTCCATCTCTCTGACAGTGCAGCATTGTTCCCAACTGCACAGTGTCTCATCTTTCAAAGTCGAATCCTAAATAATCCTGCCAGTGAGGACTCCTCCATTTCCCAGAGAGACCATCCCACAGCTGGCTGGATTTCACTGTCGAGCTCCCCCTTCAAATGGCCCATGAAACCTCCCCATGTCTCTCACTGAGAYCAGCCCAGGGCTTTCCCCTTCCCTGCAGAATAAGCACGTCCACCCCTGCCCAAGGCGATGGCCAGCACTGCTGCCCAAGGCTGCAGCCACAGCCCTGCTGCTTCCCTKGTCCCAGTGCCACCACCCCACCCTGAGCCGGGGGAGCAGTGGCAGTGCCCCGGTGCCCGTCTGAGCCCTGCTCTGCTGCTCCAGGCCGTGCTCTGCCCGGCTGGCCCAGGCTCTGATAGCACAGCCACACGTGCTCCCGCAGTGCACCTCGCACTCGGAACTCGCTAAGACATTCGGACATTTATGAATGCGCCATTTATAGCTAAATAAACTGGACCCAGTCTCCACTGAATTTTGCTAAGAACCTTTCTGCCCTCTTAGTTAATCAAGCTGCAGGTTTTACTGCCTGCTCTCATGCCCATGCCAGCACACAGCTAGTCGAGTTACTTGTGAGAATAACCAAGTGCTCTCCTAAACTCTAATTTTAACATTTACCGTTTCCTCCAACCTCGAGTGTTCCTACGTATCAGAGAATACCATCCAGTTCATGTAGCAACATTTAATCCATATAATCAAGAGGTTCAGTAAACTCCTGTAATTCATTGTTTTCTTCTTCATTGTSATTTTAGGGCCATTTGCCCAAAACAGTTAAATATACTGCTTTGTCCAGTGCTATATTTTATTCCAGGAACCAGACAGTTCATTTATTTCCTTTGCCAGTGCGGTGTGCTGGGATGCACCGAGAGCAGAGGAAGCACCAAGAGCTTTAGGTTCATTACACACACTTACTGAGTAAATTTGCATGGCTGTTGGAAGTTTTGAGGTCTTACACCTAAACAAACTGGGCTGTGGCTGAACCCTCCTCTCCTTCCTTGTCCTTTCTCTGCAGAGTCTGCAGAAGCAAAGCTGCTCAGCTCTGCACGGGCACAGGGGAAGGCTTGCCAACAATGACAGGGTGCATAGAAGACAGGGTACAAAATTTTAATGGGCCACTTTTTAATGTAGTAAAGCATTTTTTTGGTAATGAAAACAAAACATGAATTTGAGGCTCCACTTTGTGGAGTGCCCTGAGCTGTATTTCTTCACCCGCAAAATTACTGCTGGGGAAAGAAAGTCAAGAGTGTTGAAAGACTTAGCTGCCACCCCMAAAACAGAGTGATGAATAGTTTAAGGATTTATTCGACATTTCAGGGGGCTGCTATGTTCCAAGAACCAGCTTCATTGYTGAATGTTGTAATGCTGCATGTGAAAAGTGCTCCCACTTCTCCCACCCCACTAGTTTAACCATACCTGGAAAAGGCCATGGGAAAATGCAATGCTTAGGGAGCACAAAATTAACCCAAAGAGCAGCTTCAAATGGAGAGTCCACCTGCCAGGGCTCCTGACCAYGTGTGAGGCTATGGAAAGGGGCATGGTGCCCGGGAGCAGCTCCGTCCTCTGGATGTGCCTTCAGGAGCCAGAACAAAATGCCTCGCACAGGAGCAGGGCAGTGAAATGCACTCGGCTGTCACAGAGCTGGTGTGTCAGCAAGGGCRGGGGCAGGAAGGACTTGGCACTGCACAGACTTGGTGGTGGCCAACCAGAAATATGGTGCCAGCCYGACTGGTGACCTCAGGAAGCTGCTCCCTTCAGTGACCCACCATGGGCTGTGAGTTAAAACTCATGGGCAGTTGCCACAGCTCAGACTGGGCAGTGGTCACTCTGAAAACAGTGGTTTTTATGGGTGGTCATGGAAACCAGTACTGTACTGGTGGACAAATTAGCTAAAGGCATTTTAAAGGCTTATGGCACACAGAAATGGTTCTTCCAGCAATGCCTGTGAAGAGYGGGAGGCACAGGCAAAGGGAGACARGGCAAACAGAGCTGCACTGGGATCCTACAGCACAGGACAAGTCTGGAAAATGAGCGCTTCTTCAGCATTCCCACCTTTCTGCAAGAGATGCTTCACTGTCTAATTTGGAAACACTCTTATAATTTGTGTCCAATATTTAATTTCCATATAGGGAGCAGGCTGAGCCTAAGGATGCCAAGGGTGCCTTTCCATTGCCTGCACATCCCTGGCCTGGTCCCTCTGTGCTCACACCATCTGCCCTGGGCACAGACCCTCCCAGGCTGCTCCTCCTCAGCTGCTCCTGCCCTCCCAGCAGTGCCACCTTCCAGCTGCCCGCTCACTGCCCTGCAGTCCTGCCCATCCCAGCCCTCCAAGAGCCCCCCTTGCCTTTGGCCACCACCTCTSGCACCTCCAGCCCTGGCTGGATGCACTTCCCTGCCTCTCCCAAGAGCCAGAGCACAACCTGTTTATCCCACTCCTACTGTTTCTCTGTGCTTCTGTTGTTTCTGCTAAAGGCTTTTCCATTTTCAATAATGTTTCGCCAAAACGCCAAGGGGTGAGTTTCTAGCTTTGTAACAATTTTACTATGATATTAAGATCTCCTTTTATTAGATTAAAAACAAACAATACAGCTAGCCAACCCACAAGGACAAGAGTGCCAGTAAATTCTTTTCTCAGTTTCTTGGGCAGGAAAAGGAGCCCTGTGCTGCCCACGAGTACCACATTCGGCTGCTGCCCACCCCTTACCCCTGGTGACCAACTCCCCTTGCAGCTCCTGTGGAAGCAGGAGCACAGAGGGGCCTKCAGGGCAGTCAGTCCATCCCCACAGCACAGATCACAGCACACCACCCCTTTCATGGACTCTCCCAACTCCATTTCAGGGACAGACACGGCATCTGGCACCCCCWGCACCCTCCAGCGCACCTCTGGTGTTCCCAAGATCAACACAGGCCACAGCAACGGGTCTGCACATCACACAGAGCTTTTGGGAACTTTCATGGCACTTCGGGGCAGGGAAGTTTTTGGGGTGGGGCAATTTGCTTTCTGGTTTGGGGTCAGTTTAGCCATTTCTTGATTGTTTTATTTTGAAGAGAAAACAAAAGTTCTTTCCTAATAAATCTGGTTCCAGAGGTCTTAAGAAGAGCACCCACTATTGCACGACCTGTGGGACCATCAGCAACTGGGGCTGTGGCACCCTGAGGCCCTAAGAGCCCCAGGTCCCTCTGTTGGTGGGGCTGCTGTGGTCCTGCTGTCTCTTGTGCACCTGTCTGGCCTGTGCACCAGTGCAGTGATACAGCATAAACACAACTCTTTATCACAATATTGCACTGAAAGAATTAATTTAAGTAATTATGTGATTAATATTTAAGTGTTCAGTGATATTTTTGTCATTCATAATTTAGTTGTTTACATTTATTAAAAATTGATTTTGTAGACACTTTTTCTGCCCAATGTCAAATCAGCAGGGAATGCACATTTCAGCAAACTGTCATTAAAATGTCTTTCCTAATTTTATGGGAGGATAGGGGAGGAAGGGAGTCTTGAGTCCTGCAAACACGTGGTGGGTCAGTGGTGCAGACAGTGCCCTCCCTGCTGTAGCTGCCCCTCCATGGGCACCGGTCCCTGTGCAAACACGCAGCGGAGCCGACACGAGCTCTGCAGCTCTCCCTGGGCTTTACCAGGGCTGTCAGCTGGACCTGGCTGCTCAGCCTGCCTGTGGAGCTGCAGGAGGAGCAAGGAAATGCCACAGAGAGGTAGAAGATTGTTGTTTAGAGGTGGGACAGTGAGCATGACCTGACACCGCCCTGCAGGACACACCAGCAAAGTGTCCCCAGAGTCCGAGCAGAGTCCAGTCATTGCTGCCAAACATAAACACTGATGCTCATCTCTGAAATATATGCCCAAGGTGGGTAGGATAGACAATGTTATCTGTTTGGAAGAGAAAAAATGCCATGAMTGGGAGCAGAGGTGCCTGACAGGCCTTACACTGCTGTTTGCTTTGGCTGTCAGGTGTCTGCTCCCTGTCCCACCACACGGCAGTGACTGCTGGGAAGCAGCTGTGGAAAACCTCTGAAGGGCTGTGCCAGGAGCCAGC